GCTAAGCACTCACTCTACCACTGAACTATGTTCCTAGCCTGAAATGTCAATTTGAAAAAAGAATACTTAAGTCTTCAAATATGACTGTAATTTTCTCATTGTTCCTTGTTACTATATTTCTTTCTTTCTTTCTATCTATCTATCTATGCATTCTTCATATAGCTCATGACTTGCATCTCCTGGACCAGTGTACCTTGCACAAAGATAAAATACATCTCCTTCTCATATAATAATGTCTTTTGAATTCTATTTCACTTTAAGTGAGTGTTTGCCTGGTGTACTTTTTCCATTCTTCTGTTTTAAGCTGTTTGATATTCTATTTTCTATTTCTTATAAATAGCTTTTAGCTGGATTTTGACTGTTTGCCATGCTGAATGTCTTTCTTTCCTTACACACTCTAACTAGGTCCTCCTTCAGTCACTGTATTGTTCTCTCTACCTTCCTATGGCTTGCTGTCATCTGTCCTTATCTGCTACTGTCTTTGCTGAATGTCCTGTCTCTCCACAAGGCCTCCCTCATGCTATCTCTTCACTATGCTTTTTAAAAATTAGCCATTATTACCTGAACTGGTGTATTTAATGCATTACTTAATATCTGCTTTTCTTACTATAAACTCTAAAAGGATGGGGCTGTCTGTCTTGTTCACCATTGCTGGCATGCAAATTATCTTAAACTTAAGTATTAAAAGGTATTTTTATAAGATTTATGAGTCAAACTGGACTTAAGTTTATAGCTTTCGTGGCATTAGGAATGGGAAAAATGAGAAAATTCTCATAAAAGTAATATTATTTTTAAAAAATGTGATCCATTTATTGAATATGAAATCAATTTTAGAGAATACTGTATTTTCAAGCACCCTTTTTCACTTTCATAACTACATTTCTTAAACATTAGAGGAAACTGAGTTTTTGTTTTTTCAACTTGGGAAATAAGGCAATTCGATTTTAGAAATGGGACAAGTATTCGGTTTCAGGTGAAAATATGAGGGTTTTTTTTTTCTTGGTCAGTATCAAATTCTGCTACTACTGATTAAATTACTTCCTATTTGCCATTTTGGGGGAAAAGTTCATTTCAAAATAGCAACTGCCTTCACAGGAGGAAAGAGAGTATCTGTTTTCATAGTTAAATACTGCTTGCCTGGACAGAAAGTCTTTTCTATGAAACTGCTAAGGGAATATGCTAGCTAGCCTGACACACACCCTTAGTAAGCTTAGGGAGATTATTCAGAACTTTCTCTATTCAATGGATGAGATTTACAGACATTTTCTGTATTATTGGTACTTCTTTGGTACTTCTTCTGAAAGTACAGGAGACTCAAAGAAGTAAAAACTACATTTAAAATCATAAAATATAATGAAATATGAACATATCCTAACTCTAAATATCCATAGTACTGAACAGCAAGGAAAGAAGAAACCAGTATGCAGACACACTACATTCTAAAAACCTTTTACATAGACTTTTATGGGTTAGGGTTACCGGGAAGGCAGAAAAAAGTACCACTAGGTGCTTTCTCCAAAGATTCTGATTCAGTAGACCTGGGACAGGGTCTGAAAAACTGCACTTCTCACAGGCTCCCAGGAGACTGTCTGGGAGCCGTGTGAGGACAATTCTTTTGGACTATCATTTACATACTTGCTTTGGGATTAAGGTGAGAGCTATATATCGAGAATATCAAGGCATCAGAGACAGTTTTCATTTGATCTCTGGTACTTTTTAATGTAGCAGTTCCATATATCCCACTTCAAGCTCTTTTCATTGTTTAGTTTGAAATGCTCTTAAAACATTAAAAAACACACTGTCTTTAAATTCTGAAAGCAAAAGAGAGTTTTATATATCTGCATGGGTTGGCTCAGGCATATATAAATACAAATGATTTAGAGCAAGAGTCCTAATACCAAATGTCTCTAGATGCCAGATAGGTCAGACAGTGAGTGAAATAGGCCAGATAATGTAGAGGATTGGAGAGGCCATGCTAAAGATGCTACTCAGTTGCAGACACCCATCATCCAATAATGTAGGTCTATCATAACCAGATCCTCCAAGCTGATAAGCCAGAGATCCAACATTCCATATAAAATCTCAAGTTTTAAACACAGGCAACTAATTTTTAAAATCTAACCACTGTAATTTAAAATAATAATAATAATACAACACTGTAATTTTACAAATCTAAATGCTGTATACAACACAGAAAGGCCTGTGGGCTGGATGTTGCCAGTTTCTGGCCTCTGGGTTAGAAGAAAGTCTCAAAAGGAGTAAGAGTTGGGCAACAAGCTAACCTATTCACTTTGCTCATGGGCCACTTACTCTAGCAATCACCTACATCCAAAATTAAAAGCCCTCTCTAAAGGCCTAGGAAAGAAAGCACTTTTTTATAAGCAACTTTTCCATCAAGACAAGTTCTGTGCAAATGATCTTAGTATGAGAAAGCTGGCAAAGAAAAATGAATTCTTCATACCTTGCAACTACTGATATAAGAATAATGACGAGGATTTCAGGATCACCAATATTTTTAAAAGAAAGAAAAAAAAAGAGAAAGGAGTACAGACTTGGGGATTCTTAAGCATTCTATCATACCTGATTTGATAAGTATAAGTTATTTAAACATCTTTGCCTAAAACTTCACTAAATTGAGAAAACCACATTTTACAACTACACAGGTAACAAGGAATAGCAAGCACAATAATTCAAATCTCCTAAATCTATTCTAACAATAACATCCTGAAGCATCATGCTAAGGACTTTCAGCTAGGCCTGGTGGTATACCACCTACGATCCTGATGCTCAAGGGGCTGAGGCAGGAGGATCACAAGTTTAAGGCCAGCCAGGACAACTTATCTAGACCTTGTCTGAATGAATGAATGCAGAGACTGTAGCTCAGTGGTATATTTGCTTAGCACACGTGAAACTCTGGGTTCAATCCCAGAAAAGGACTTCTAAGGCCAAATCTTTAACTCAGTGGAAAAGACGAATGCCAAAGGCCTGAAAGACAAATGACAATGGATGTGCTCCTTACCTGTCCATATATACATAGTGTCCATATATTAACATGTCCATATTATTAACATAGTGACTAGAGAAATATCACCTCATGCCAATGGTTTTCCAGTCTATTCATAGTAAAAGCTAGACTCCTCATTATTACTCTAAAAGCCCTGCACTATCTGGCTTCCCATTATATTCTGATCTCATTTTCTGATGCATTTTCCTGATGCATTCCAGACATGCCAAGCAAGTCTGTGCCTCAGGATTTTTACATCTGCTATTCGCACTGCCTAGAAAGCTCTTCCTTTGGATGTGTACACTGTTCACAATTTTATCCTCTTAGCAACAAGGACATCCTTGACTACTCATTTTAAAAAGCTACTCCCCTCCCTTAGCCTCCTTTTGCTTTATATATAGCATTTTTCACAATACTTAACACCACCTGACACACTAAATATTTTGCTTAGTTTTCTTCTAGGGCAAAACCATAAGGGATGAGTTTTTAGCTGTTCAGTTTACTTCTTCCCTAGAATAATCTCAAGCATGTAATAGCACTAAAAAAAAACACTGACTAAAGACATACAGGAACAAACAGAAATAAGGTAAATGAACCTGGGTTCTAACATTGGTCCAATGACTAATCAGTCAAATAAACACAGGTGAGTCATTTGGGTCCTCAAAAGATCTCTATCCTTGGTTGTATAATCTCCAATATTTTATGAAGTTACAAATTAAGTAACAGAAGAGTGACATCACTTCCTCTAGGTTTGTTAGGAGATGTGTTAGTTACTTTTCTCTCGTTGCTGAGACCAAATACCAGACACCCAAAGTTAAAGGAGAAGAGGTTCATTTGGCTTACAGTTCATAGAGGTTTCAATTCACAGTCAGCTGTCTCCAAGACAGAGGTGGAAAATAGACATTGCAGAGGAGAAACAACATGGCTCCCACAAGGCAGCAAAGGAAAAAGGGAACTTCAGAGTTCATGGTGGCAGAAGACAGCAAAAGCAAGAAAAGAGAGCTTTGCCACATCTTTCTGCCTCTTTTATCCCATCCAGACTACTGGGATTAGGGCGGGGCTAAACTAATAACTCACATGCAGTGGTTTAGTAATCACAGGCCCTTAACTCCAGCATCACCCATTCCAGATTCAACTACCCCTGAAAAAGAAAGTCCCGCCTCATGAGGGGGGACAACTAAACATGAACCATAACCAGAGGATAGTGGAAAGCCAGGTTAAAAAGGCTTCCTGGAGTTCCAATCCAATGCCCAAACTAAGCTCTTTTAGAAACAGTAACAGAACTGTGACAGCTGAATACCAAACTTTAGAATTTAAGAATGTAAAAATAAAGAATTCCTGAAGAGAAAAATCTTTTCTAGAAATATTCACAAAAGGAACATGAACTCTTTAGCTTGCTTTTTTAAAAAAATTGTGTTGCCTCTACTCATTAAATCCTTACTAAGTGTCTGTGGTTGAAGGAGAATTTTCCACAGCACTGAAAGGAAAAACACCTAGTTTTTCATAGGAAACTTTGGAATAATTTCATCCTCTAAAAAGATTTCAAATAATCCTGTCTAAAATTAAGAGATTGATTAGCAAAACAACAAAGATACAAGTATCAACTGCCCTTCAATGCTGATGTATAAAATCACCATCCCAAATAAACTATTAAAGATTGTTGAATCTTCATTTGATGACTATTTCTTTTACCACTATTAATTTCAAACCAGACAAACAGAAAAATGGCAAGTAAATAAAAGATTTATGAAGCAAAAACATGTCATTAATCAGGGAACTTAGAACGGCTCAAGTGTCAGTAAAATGCTGCCTGAACAACTCATGAGGTCCTTGGCCGAGAGCTGCTATAGAGGCAGTTAACAGAAGACTCAAACCACACAAGAAAATGTCCAAGTGCTCAGGTACTTTCAATGAAATGACAGAATTTGATGTACCATAGATATTTCAAATAACTTCTCCCAGAAGACATAACCATTTAATCCCAATATTTACTTACAAATTCATAGTCTCCATCCTGTGGTACTTTCCAGTCTGAAGAATTTTTCAGTGGGCCAGGTACACTCTTGCCAAAGCTGTTTATCTGATTTTCCTTTTCTTTTTGTTCAAAGTATTCAAGGAAAGATGGTTTCGCAGGCTGCATGGTCTCATCCCTTCCTAAAATATAAGAAAATTAAAAGGTAAAAGGAATAGTCCTAAATTTTTAGGTAAGTGTAGTAAATAGATCTCCAGATAAACTATAGCCACTGGATCAATGCAATGAGTCTTTTTGGTTAGAAACGGACTCCTACAAGCCTCAAAGTACAGAAGAGTGTACATATACTTACTAAATTATTTTTCACAGAATTCAAGATCTCCCTACAGTACCCAAGATGCAAAGATGCCCTCGGGTATCTTTTTCTAGATAGAGAGATTCGGGTCCTGAAGTAACTAACTCTGGGTAAGCTGCAAATAGCACATTTTGGAGGCCCATCAGTAAATAGTTCCTATAACTTCCAAAGAGAAAACACTTGAGGACCAAGCAAAAATATTTGTTTAGCACTCACTATGTACAAAATTCTCTATGGGCACTGCAGTAGGTAGGGGATCACATATTAGGGTGACTTTTCTCAATAAACTCATAATCCAACTGGAATAATGAGAAAAATATATACATAAAAGACAAATTATAACCCATTTAATTTTGAAATATTACATAACTTTTAAAGTGCTACCTACAAATGGTTTATCATAAAGTTAAGGGAGAAAATAGGACACAATATTATATATATAATATATTGTTTTCTCAATGGTATAAAATCATGTAAAGAAGGAAGAGGAAAACAAATATTAACAGGGCTGTTTCTGGTCATAGGAACTATGGGTGATTTTATTTACTTCTTTTAAACGTGTTTTAAAAGAACATAATGCTGGATATGATTAGTGAGTAGAACTGATTTGCTACATATGCCATTAGATCTTGGAGGTGGTCAAGAAAACTTGGAGGGGAAGGTTTAGATGGTGTCTCAAAGCACCACAAGAATAAAATCAGCAGTTATGCAATAGCAGTTACTAGATGAGAGCACAATATAGAAGTTGCTACTTACTATCAACAATGGCAAAAAGAAGAATTTCACCTGGCATGATCTCAAACTCTAGCTAGTTGAATGTACCCATTTCACAATTTGTGCCTGTGATTAGTAATCTAACATGGGGAAATACAGGAAATGTTCCATGTTTTCTGTGAATATAGTGGAAAAAGGACAAGAAGGTTCAGAGCCTTGGATTCTGGTGGGGGAAACTGGAAGATAAAAGAACAGCAAGTATTTCTCCCCAGCACCCCTGTCCCATGTGATCTTATCAAATGACACCTGCCTAATTAGTTTCAAGACAGCACCCTGTCTCCCAGACTTTTGTCATCTTTCTGTCACCAATGCCAAGTCTCACAGCAGCCAGTCCCAGATTTGCCCACTTCTAGATGCTGCCAAGAGCTTACTATACTGTTGCCTCTTTGTTTAGGGAGATTACCATATTTGCTTGTGTCAGTCAGTCAGTACATGGTATTTTGTTTTGAGTGCTTCAGGTACAATGTTAGGAGCTTTACATGTTTTTGTTTTTGAGATGAGGTCTCATTATGTTCCCCAGGCTGCCTTGAACTCATGATCCTCCTGCCTTATAATCCTCCCACCTCAGCTCCCAAACTGCTGGGATTACAGTTGTATGTAACATGCCTAGTTTGTTTAGTTTTTAAGTCAATTTTCAGGTATTATTTCATACCACAGTTCTCCAGGAACTACAATAAAACTTGTGAAAATAGTGGTGATTTAAATTAGCTGAACAGTCAGAAAAGCTCTAACCTTGTGCTCAGTCCCTTCTTCTAGGACTACCAGAAGAGAGGTAATTACTGGCTCTGACACAAGTCTGCAGCAATCCTACACATAACCCACATATTAAAAATCATAATAAAAGAGTGTTTGGGCTGGGTGCGTGCTCAGCCTATCATGTGTGAAACTCTGGGTGTGATCCCAATACTGGGGTAAAAATGTTCAAAGAACTTCCTAGAGCTACTGAACCTTAACGTACTATTGGTGGACCATATTCAGAACATGGGATACATTTATACAAAATATCCTGACCAACTATACCAACCAAATGAACAGAATAGAAACCTAGAAACAAAATAGATGTCCAAACAGCTATCCAAACAACTGGACTGTTATATGAGAAAAGATTATACTGACTCTGTATCTCATATCTTAAACCAAGAAAACCCCAAATGGTTAAAAGGTGTAATTATAAAAATAGAAAAGTACCTGAAAACATGAATGGACTTAAAATCTATGTGTGGAATATGCTTTCTTTTTTTTGGTATCAGGGGATTGAATTCAGGTCCTTGCGCTTGTGAGGCAGGTGGCCACGCCACAGAGCTAAATCCCTGGCCCCAAAAATGTTTCCATTTTTTGAGACAGGGTCATGCTACATAGCTCAGGCTGGCTTGGAATTCATGATCCTCCTGCCTCAACCTCCCAAGTGCTGAGATGATAGGCTTGAGTCACCATGTCTAGCTAGAATTTTTAAATCAAGGAAAAGAAAATAAAAAATGGAAGAAAAATGGAGTAAAGACTTGAAATAGATAATACACATACAAAGATATCCAATTGTCCTTACATATGGAAAAGAATGTTTAGATTCACTCATAATAAGAGGAACTCTGAAACTGTTTAGAAATACTATTTCTTACATTTCAGAGTAGCAAAAACTCAAATGCAGGATGACACACTCTGTTGGTAAAGCTATAAGGACACAGGCATGCTCACATGTGACTCAAATGGAACACACAGCCGAACAATCTCCAAGAAAGGGACCTGGCACTAAGTATCAAAACATGAAACTGGGAAAGGCACAGAACCTTGTGGTGTTGTATTTGAACTGGAGGGCTTACTATAAACCTTTAAAAAATTTTTTTAAAAAGAGATTTCCAAGATTTTTTTACTGAAAGGCATTGGAGCCAAGGACACCTCAGCACCAATGTACTCGGATCTGGATCTCCAAATACCATCCTTTGCTAAAAGGAACCAGGCTTCTTAAGAGAACAGCTGATTTAAGGCATAGAGAAAGAAAATAGTGAAGTGGGTCTAGAACATCTTTTCATGCCCAAAAAAGCAAGGAAATGACAAGCATTTAAAAATGGATGAAGATATATCAAAAAGATGTGAGGGGCACCCAAAGTGACCCCACTAGTACATTTAACTAGTACTTTAAACATTAATAGAACACAGTAAGAAGAATTCTCTTCTTTAAAAAAAAAAACATCATTTGACAAGTGCATCATGGTAGTAAATATACATATATACTTTTCTTGGAAATAAACACCAAATGGAATGTCTCTTTCTTTGGAAATATGCATAGTTTGAGAGTAAGCTGTACATACCATGCCATTCTGTACCCATTTCTCCATCTATCTATCCATCCATCTTTATATACATATACAGAAATGAGAAATGACTAACGAAAGTCAATAAAAATAGCAATTCTAGATAGAATTGGTAATTTAAGATTTTGTCTCCCATGGAATTAGCATTATATCCAACAATAAAACAATATATTTCTGTGGTGCTTCATTAACTCCTTTCAGTTGCAATACAAGTTAATTTTAGAAGTTAAATCTTTAAAACAAGGATGAAACACTAGAGATAACATTTCTATTATCTAATCCTAAACAGGCCACAAAAGTCAAAGAAATGTCAGCCAACCTAAAATATAATCATGCGTCAGATGAAAACGTGAATTCTTTTATTTGATGATGACAGACTTTCTAATTTAAAGATCTCTAATACTATTGGAGGTAAAACACCAAGTATTCCTTTTCTTTTTTTTGAGACAGGGTCTTACTGCATAGTTCAGATTGGCCTTGAACTCACTATGTAGCCCAGGCTGGCTTCAAACACACAGCAATCCTCCTGCCTCAGCTTCATGAGTACTGGGACTATAGGCATGTGCTGCCACGCCAGGCACACCAACTATTATCTCAACCACTAGAAGTCATAAATTTAAAAATTGTATCTAAAGTGTCTTTGTCTGTATCTTTTGATATCAATACCAGGGACCTGATTATATCTGACATTTATTAGAATGCACTGTTTTAGAACTAGAGTGAATCTTTTTTTTTTTTGGTACTGGGGATGGAACTTAGGATCTTGTGCTTACAAGGCAGGCACAGTGCCACTGAGCTAAATCCCTAGCCTGAGAGTGAAACTTATAATGTGAGAAGTTTTTAATTTAGTTCCATATTCAGACATAAATTGGAGAAGTGAAATTCACACATTTCTTAGAAATTTAATTACAGCAAAATGATAAGTTAAAAGAGTACATATATCAGATTACTAAAAAAGTTAAAGCTGATTTTGGAAACGGTGCCAGAGAAAAGTTCCTATCCTGGGATTTTATGTTATGTGTATTTTACTATGTTTTTTTTTTTTTTTAAATTGGAAGAAAGAAATCTCTATCTTGAGGTTTTAAGATTTAGATTCTAGTCCTGACTGTATGCTCTTGGGAAACCCACTGGTTTCCAATCTGTAACAAAGTATATATTGGACCAGATTGTTTTTACTCTACTTCGTATCTTTGAAAATTATGAAAATTACATGATTCTAACTGATAATCACATCTAAAAGCATATTTATGTCCCAGTTATTGATAACTATTCAAAAGAAGTTTTTATCTCCAGGATTGATTCTTGATAGCTTCTAATCTAAAATATGCTACAAACTAGAAGTATATAAGCACAAAGCAAAGATCAGACTAAACTGCAAATAGGCCCCAACAAATATTCTAGCGACCAGAACACCTCTGACTTTGGGCTTGTTTTTATGTTGGTTAGGTTTTTTTTGCAGTGCTGGAGATTGAACCCAGAACCTCACACATGCTAATAAGTATATGTTCTATCGCTGAGCTACATTCCCAGGCCTGCTTTGTTTCCTTTATAACAGGCAGAAGAGACCAAATTTTCCTTGGCTCAAACTAATAAAGATAACATCTAGATATGCAGGTGATAAAATATTTTATGCAAAGTGAAGAAATTAATAAACTGATGGGGGAAGCCACCTCCACTGGCAAGAAACAGCATATAGTCAGAAATAGTGATCCCTCTATTTAGTGAGTCCAGAAATGAACTGCCT